ATATTGGAGTAATCTCCCAGGATGACAGGGGGGGTTTTTTGTGGCAAAAGTTGTTTCTTTTTTTATTGTTTATTGACAGAAGCATTAGTCTTAATAACATATTCAAATAAAACAAGTCAGCACTTAGTTTAGTGGTTGAAGATCAGAGTAGGAGATGCATGCTTACTTATTTTCATAGGATATATTTAATATAATTATGGCTTCTTATTTTTAATCTCATACGCTAACCTTTACAAGCCTTGTTTTGCTAGTGACAAGAAGTAGTAACAGTTAATCTGGAGGAGGGTATCCTTAGGGGATCTCCTTAGGTTGCAATATGGAGGGTGTGTTTGCAAGTAGAATAGAAGTTTAAGTACCCTGTCACTAGTAACTAGCCGTGTCAATACTGTCCTAGAGTATTTCAGCATGCTATCCACAGATAGGTGATATGTGTGTGCACCATATGGTAGACAGAGGAGCTTCAGGTGTTGAAGAATAACAAGTTGGATTTGTAATACAGCCTGAGAAGCATACGGAACTTTATTTTCATTTGGAGAAGTATCATGTAGGAATAATTTTTAAATTGCAGGAAGGCTTCTTATGGCAAATCTTTGTGGAGCAGAAATTATATAAGTAGTTGCATTGCATTGTAACATGTTTTAACCAGAGGAAATTATAAATAGCAGCAAATGAATGAGATACTAGCCACGAGACTTGGAAGAGAAGTCTTGGGGAACTACAATATTCAGACACTTAGGCTATGTCTACATTACAGGTTTTGTCAGAATAGGCAATGCAAATAAAGTGCTGATTAGCATTTTCTCATGCTTCATTTGTATAATCACTTCCGATCCATTTTTGTGCAAGGGGGTTTTGCGCAAAAACAAGCAGTGTGAATGTTTCCATTTTGTGCAAAAACCCCTCTCTGAGGCATAAGGATCTTGCGCAAAAAAGGGTTTTTGTGCAAAACGGGAAAGTCCACACTGCTTGTTTTTGCGCAAAAAACGAATTGGAAGAAATTATACAAATGAAGCACAAGAAAATGTTAATCAGCACTTCATTTGTATTGCCTCTTCTGGCAAAACCTGTAGTGTAGACATAGCCTTAGGGTTTATAGGGACCCAAGTTCCCCTCCTGCTGTTGATATTCTCCAGATATGGCTTTGGCCTGTCTGCATAACAGAAGAGTAGCAAGGCTGCTTGCAGGGTTTCTGGTTGCATCACAGATGCACTGCAGAAATCAAAATGCTGCAGAGGACATTAAGAAAAAAAACCTGGAACTGGAGTTTGAACAGATACCTAGTTGTTTCTGGTTTCTTTAGAAGGGCATCCTTAATCATTCCTTTCCCCTAACTTCTTTAGTCTGACAGCCACCCTAGGTTGTAGGGTCAATCAGAGCAATCAGACAGATTTCTAACATGGTTTATTCACTGAATATATTAAATAAGAATCCACACCTGGATCTGGCTTGAGATTTCTGAAGAGATTTCTTGCAAGCTAAAATGATGTGACAGAAGAGGGTGGAGAGAAAAGAAACACAGAGAGAAGCCCAGGGTTACATAGAAGGCCAGCAGCATAGCCCAAAAGAGGATTCAAATTTCTCAAGTCCCAGTCCACTCAAAGAGAAAATAGAGAGTCTCAAAGAGAAATGAGAGGAGCCAGTGGATTTTCATCACTGGGCATTACCCATGACTGTTTCCTTGGAGCAGGCCAATGCAACAGCACCGCTTTAGAATTTGGCCTGTCTCATCACCCAGAATAATTATTGTTATGCACTGACTAGTTTGTCCAATGCAGGGGTGAGCAATAAGCAACCCACAGACTGAATGAAGTTTGCTAGGTTAGCCTTTGGCAAGCTGCGGGTATTTTATTTACCTGCATATCCACTGATACGGCTGCTCGCAGCTCCTATTGGCCCCAGATCACCATTCCCGTCCACTGGGAGCTGCGAGAAGTGGTGCAAACAGTAACACCGCGTGCTGCAGCTCCCATTGGTTGGGAATAGGGAACCACAGCTAACAGGAGTCGCGAACAACCATATCTGCAGCTACGCAGGTAAATAAAGCACTGGCAGCCTGCCACTGGCTAACCTAAAATAACTCTTAAATTGAAATTTACACAGTGCTTTTGTGAAAATTGTAGAAGGCTAAATTCCTGTTGTGGTAGTGGTTCTTGGTCTCTTGTGTTTCATAACAATATGGTTATAGCTCATCATTTTTATACTCTATTTAGGTTGGAGTGAAATGGGATAAGTTCATTCCTGGTTTAAAGCCATTGCAGCCAATAGAGTGACACCAAGGATGAGATTGGTCCTTACAGAGCTTTGCTGTAGCTTCCTTGTAACCACTGAACATTTTTACTTTTCAAATGAACATTGTCTTTGAAAATGGCAGAGAAGTCAAATCACTGAATGAAAACTTTACAGACGTCCAAGGGGTGAACTTACCTATCCTTTAAGCAAAAGCAGCATTCTACTGCTGGCTTATGGTGTAGTGATTTTTGAGAGGTGAACAGAATTTGTTCATCACTGAAAAGCTCAACAGCTACCGAAACCTGCAGTTAGTCAGCTTTGTCCTGTCCATGTCAGTCTTGAGCATATTACCCTAGTACAGGGTTTCCCAACCTTTTTCAGTCCCCGTACCCCCTTGGCTTTTAGTAAACCTTCCCGTACCCCCTATTCAATATGAAAGGAAATAAATTCTAGACTCTGGAATCCACAACTTTTTTCACTAACACTACTACTTTGGGAATATTTCAATTAGGATAATCTAGTTATTTACCAAATATTCCCCATATCGCCTTGACAAGCTTCTCATCCCCCCTGGGGGTACGTGTACCCCAGGTTGGGAACCCCTGCCCTAGTATAACAGAGCTGCCTAGAGAATAATACAAACACAATACATTAGGACAAAATATCCTGTTTCATTTTCCTTCCTGTGTCACCTAATCAGGGCCTGCAAACCTGCTTTTTATTATCTTTTATTTTCTCCTACTCTCTCCTCCTTTTTTTCCCTCGCCTTTTTGTCTTTTTTTGGAGGGGGAGGGTTGTTTGTTTAGAATTTTCCTTCATGGTAAAAAGTGAGTTTTAAACTTTCTTGAAAGGCCGTTTAGCTCTGAGACCTTGAGTTTGGTCCAGTATTCCACAGCCACCCAGGGTAGTGAGTGGAACATGAGGAGGTGAGGTGGACAAAGTGCTTCTGATGTATTTGATGTTGCTAAAGAGAAGGCTGCTGTGGTCTGGAGTTATTGCAGCTTTGCTAATGTTGGAGTTCTCATGCCTAGATACAATGAGTGGTAATAGCCTAGTGCAGAGGGTAGCATGCTGTTCTCTAGGTAGTCCAGGGGCGGGCAAAAGGGCCTCTGCAGGTTGGATCCAGCCTGCGGAGGCCCTGCTGCTCCCCCTCCCCCGGGCCAATTAGGGTCTGGGGGTGGAGGAGGGGGAGGGTGCGAAGCTTCCTCCTGCCCTGCCATGAGCACACAGCACTTTGAAGCGACATGCGCTCCTTGCAGGACAGTAGGAAATGTCACGTACTCCCCCCATCCCCAAGCCCTGATTGGCCTGGGGCGGGAGGAGCACGCAAAGTTCCTCTGCCCTGCGAGAAATGCACAGCACTTCAAAGTGCCGTACGCTTACGCAGGGCGGGGACAGAGCGAAGGAAGTTTTGCGCAGCTCCCCCATCCCCAGACCCTGATTGGCCTGGGGGCAGGGGAGCGTGTGATGCCTCTTCCCACTCTGCGAGGAGTGCAAGGCACTTTGAAGGGCCATGTATTCCTCGCAGGGCCGGGGTAGGGCAGGAGGAGGCTTTACACGCTCTCCCCTCTCCCAGGCCAATTGCAAAACTTTCTTCGCCCTGCCCCGGTACTGTGAGGAGCACGTGGCACTTCAAAGTCCTGAGTGGCCTGGGGGGAGGGGGCGGAGCATGTGAAGCCTCTTCCTGCCCTGCCAGGGGCATAGGTGCCTAGTGGGAAGGGGAGGCAAAGGGGACCAATCATGGTCTGTGGGTGGGGAAGCCCAGAAGCATCCTGGCCCTTCCCCAATTTTTAAAGTAGCCCCCAGCCAAAAATTATAGCCCACCCCGGTCTAGTCCTAAATAGGGAAGTAATAGTGTAGTCAATTAACTGATAAGTAAAAGCTTATAGGTTAATACTATAGACTACACACATTTCCCTCTCCTCTCCCCTTGCCACTAAATTTTTAGCAGGCTGGCCAGCAGCCTGGCTCAGTCCTGGCTTGCGATGTGTCTGGGACCTACCCCTGCTGTGGCTGTGCATTTAAAATATATTAGAAACCGGTCAGGTAAGCAGCCCGGCTCAGTTATGGCTCATGCTGAGTCCGGGAGCTCAGACCACCCCTGAACAGGGGTTACTGCCACTCCATATTTCTGCCTCTTTATCAGAGGCAGTAACGCAGGGCAATAGGCAGCCAATCCACGATGGGAGCTGGTTTTTTAATTGGCTGCCCTCACAGACCAGCCTCTGCCTGGCACCCCCATGCTGCTGCCTCTGATACAGAGCGCACTGGCTGCCAGTCCAGCCCCAGGGTCTATAGAATAGTCGACTAACCGATAAGAATTCATGAGGTTACTCGACTATTCAGTTAACAGATATTTAACATCCCTAGTCCTAAATAGGAGAATGTTTGGGGTTATTACTCTCCAGGAGTCCAGCAGTGCTGGGACAATGTGGGGGAATTTTACTCTATGGACCAGTTTACCCTCCATGGAAGAAGACTACTCTACAGTGGCCAAACAAAAAGTTATAGTTAGCTGTCCAAAGTATTTCCCACCTCTGGCCTGGCTCCGTTCAGCCTCATCCCAAAGTTGTGTTACTTGCATGTGAAGTAGAGGAACTGCAGAAATGGGTATCTACTGTAACAAGCTATATTATCTCAGCTTCTCAGTCTCTCATTACAGGAAAAGGGTAGCCAGTGGCCACATTTTATAGCCCCAGCCAGTCAATGAGTTACAGTAGGGATTAATTTAGCCTGTTGTCTTGCACGCATACAGAGACAGAGGTGAGAAATCAACAAAAGAACCCATTTTTATGGCTTAATGATTTCACAGTTGGTGCCTGTGGGTTACAGTGTAAGCCTGACATGTAACATTTACATTTTTTCTCCCATTTCCTCACGTTGTATCAACAGTGATTGTGGGAGATCAAACCAATTACAGATATGAGCTGCCTCCTCATTTTTTTCTGGCTGCAATTCAGGACATAAGCTGTTATTAACCCACATCATCTGATACAGGAAAAAGGAGAATGGTTAATTTAGCTCTTCTACTGATCATAAACAAATTTTCAATGAACTATAAAAATATCAGCATTTACTTTGGTCTCGCCCCATGATAGACATAGCCAAGTTGCTACGAATAAAACTTGTTTTAAATGGAACAGAGGATGGCATTGAAGGAGGCTGTATGGGTGTCAGTTCAGTATCTTCCAGGGTTTCCCACATCTCAGCTGTGGATATTGCCTGAATTCCCAATGGCATCATTTACATGAAGTACAGTATCTCCGAAATACTTTGCTAGAAGACTAGCTATAGAATCAATGGGAATGTTTTATATGCTAGGGCTAAATCTCAAAGTTATTGCAAGTTTGTTTGTTAAGCTTCTACTTCTCTGAAAAGTGCTTTTACTAAAACTAATCTACCCTTAAAGCCAATCTTTGAAAAATGGCCTCTAAATTTGCACTTCCCTAACCTCTGTCGTTTGCAAGTACAAACTTAAGAGGCCCGGCTATCATCCTATACAGGATTTATTAGCTTATCTGAACTCTGCAGCTTTACCAGTAAGTAATGGCAGAGAGCCATCACTTGTCATGACGCTTCACTGATTATCTTAGCATTGGCTGGCATTTCCCAGAGCGTGTCTTTTTACATAGGGGTTACATTTTGTATCAATGTTCCTGCAGAAAAATATGACATTTGAATCAATAGCCCATTACTCAGTCTTTGTTCAGGCAAGACACTCACTAAAATCCATTAGAACCTTGCCTAAGGGCCTGTGGATTTGGTCCTTTGTTTGCTCTCCACATTTCAGTTCCAAAGATTTTTTAGAATTGCATTTCTCTTGCTTTGGGCATTGCCATATCTGAATGTTCCTGTACAAGACAAAAACAACTTAGAGCTCAGTTTCATGAGTGAGTGTTTGTGTAACAAGGCATTGAAAGCTGAACATATTGGAGTTTGTGGCACCTTTCCTGTGAGCTGTGTTCATGAAGCATGGGGAGCAGCACTGGAGATCCTGTGACATGAGACAAATGAAGACTAAGCCTTCTTTGCTTATCTCAGGCCAGGAAGGAGTGCTGTGGCTCCAGGAGGAGTTGAATGAAGCTGGTGTATTCTGAAGAGGTTTTTCTTACCGAGAATCCTCTATCCTTTCTTTAAGGAGAGGTGATTGTGAAACTCCTTTTAGACTGTGAGGTGTCAGAAGCAGCAAGGTATCACTTCACCAAGGACACAAGTTCCTCTGCTCCTGAGAAAACAGGTAAAAAAGGTTAGCTCTGGAAGGGGGATTAAACTTCAGAATAGAGAATAGTAAATGGTAACAGTAAACTCTGCTTTGCACAGAGAATTTGGACATGCATGAGAAGTCCATCACACTGAGACTGAAATGCAGCTGTTCTGCTGCTTGATACTTGTGGTGCTTCTGGCTATTAAGTGTGTAAGCTTTTAAAATAAATGGTTTCATTTATAATCTTTAACACCCGAAAAGAGCAGTTCTGTCTAATGGAGCATATTGTAGCAGCTTCCCTCCTTCCTGCCCATTAAAGGGGAGAGAGTGTCACAAGTGCATGGAGCAAAAACATATTGTTGTGGAAGCCTGGAGAATGGAATATTTACTGTCCCTCTGAGAGCATGTGGCCAGCAAGTGTGATTACTATTTATGAATTGCACTAAATTGCCATTCACTGATAATACTCCCCTTCCCCCCAAAAAATTGGACAGCAATTCATGTTAAATGCTGGCTGGATATACACATCAAAAATCTAGAGCCAGCATAGCATATTCCTCTCATAGCAGCCACTTTCTGAAGCAATTCAAGTGAATGTTTCAGTGCAGCAAGTAAGTCAGAAAGAGAGAGTTTAGCAGTTTCAGGACCAAATATTTATATTAGAATGAACCTAGGAGGATCGCTCCATTTCTTGTGTGAAGGCACTCCAATTGTGCACCAGTGTAACGGAGAGAATGTGCTCCTTAATATTTTCCAAACCATACCATAAGAATCAATTTAGAGACTCTCTGCATGACAGAAAAAGGTACCTTTGCTCTGACTGTATTCAATATATTAGCAGTAGAGTGAGAGCAATGTCTATTAAACAATTATTGAATCCAAAGACTGGTGTATGATTTGTGTGCACAGTGCAATTCATATAAAATTATTCAACAGTCTTCTGTGAGTAAGGCTTGAGGCTCCAGAGAGCAAGTTGTCCTGCCATTTATATGGCCAGCTACACACAACATGTAAGTGTTATGTTTGAATAGCAATTCAAATGTTTTGTCGACATTGTTTCCATTTGATTTCCTTGAAAGTAGTCTAAGACTTCCTGACTGTGTGCACAGTGCAATTCATATAAAATTATTCAACAGTCTTCTGTGAGTAAGGCTTGAGGCTCCAGAGAGCAAGTTGTCCTGCCATTTATATGGCCAGCTACACACAACATGTAAGTGTTATGTTTGAATAGCAATTCAAATGTTTTGTCGACATTGTTTCCATTTGATTTCCTTGAAAGTAGTCTAAGACTTCCTGACT